GGGTGAGGAAAGCAATGCTGAAAGATAGGAAAAAAGATGTTAAAGAGCATACAAATAGTAACCTTGATAGCTCGAAGTAGTCACGGAAGAGCTAATATACCCCCTCTAAGAGATAGGGTGGCGTTCAAAGAAGTGGAAAATTGAAAGAAAGCTTCACGCCTCTAAACATCTGATGTGAACAGATATGGTGTGAAGTCCTAAATAAGCATGATATTCCACTGCCACTCGTGCCCAAGTCAACTGTCATAAAGATCGAGCCCAAAAGATGGTTTAATTTTCACAAGGTCAAGGGTCACCATACTAAAGAGTGTTATTAACTAAAGAAGGAGATACACCGCCTCATCCAAGAGGTCCATTTGAAGAAATATGTCAGAGGTGAAGCCGCTCATACATTAGGCAGATCCAAATTGCAAGGGCGAGATGCTTCTAAGAGTCCCAGGTCCAAAAAGGGCAAGAAATTAAGCAAAGGGGTGTGGACAGACATGTGTTCCACACCCTTAATACCATAGTAGGAGGATTCTGCAGGGGTGAAGATATCAATTATTCACTCAGGAGATACGCTTTCCAAGACCTAACCATTGAGAGCTCACCTATGAATCCTGACTCTAGCAATAAGGAAGCTACAAATTATGAGATTACGTTTTTAGAGAGGGATGTTGCAAGCATCCACCCACATGACAATGATCCCATGGTCATGATCATATAGTGTGATAACTAGGAGATTAAGAAAGTGTTGATTGATCAAGGAAGCTATGTAAACATCCTCTATTATGATGCTTTTGAAAGAATCTGACTAGACCTAGACGACCTCAATCTTTCCAAGGCTCATTGGTGGAATTCTCATACGAGTAAGTGAAAGAAAAGGTTATGTTACTCTAAAGACCCCGTTTCAGACCGATGAGAATTCCATATCGATCAAGGTAAGATATTTGGTTATTGATGCACCTTCCTCATATAACATTACTATAGGGCTTCCATATCTATGTTGTATCTATGCATGAATTACCAACTATTGGATGGGTGAGTTAGGGTTATATATGGGAATCAAGATATTGCTAGGAAGTGTATTGTAGAGAGATTTAAGCTAAAAAGAGAGGATTATTATGGCCCACTCCCATCAAGAGCATGCATAGGGAGTGAACATTGTAGATGTGAAATATGGCTCAATCCATAAGAGGTAACTCCCGGGGATGAAGATATGTCCTCGCTACATTAGAAGAGTACCAAGATGGAAGAATAAGCTACTCATTAATTTTTTTAATAACTATTTTGGTTGTTAAGCCATGTTTAGTTTAGTCAAAATTATGTGTTTGATTTGTTTGAGATGAGGTGCCATCTATGGCGTTTGTATGGTTAAATTCATGACATTATTTGTTTTTTGGGGAGCATTATTTTCCTCATGCGTTGGTAATAAGGTGCCTCACATTATCATATAAATTTGGAATTATTATTGCCTTGTTTTTCAGGAACTAAAGAGTGAAATGAAACCTTAAACAAACCGCCTATAGAAGCGACCAAATATGTTGGATTCTCAGGGAGGAATCCTTATCGTCCTTTGAGACTATTATAGATGTTCGATCTGTAAGGAGGAATCCTTAATTCTCTTTAATGCAATCACATGTTAGATCCTCATGGAAGAGTTCTTTCTGCCCATAGAGGTGATCATATATGTTGGATCCTCATACGGGAATCCTTGCTGCCCCAGTGGGAGATACTATCATCATCATGTAGGAATCCTTGTCCTACAAAACCACAACAAGGCCAAAAACAAGTTCAAAAAACGTTCTAAGACGATTCACATGAAAAAAAAACAATGGCATACAAACCCACCATTTAATCAATTCTCAAGGAACGAAAATACAAAACAAACACCCAAGAACAACATTCATAATTGCACAAAACCACCCTCAAATTAACTGGCTCGCCTCAGGAACTTTCCTTTCCCCTAAGACAGTCTCCTGGGAAACATCATCTCCCTTAGAAGTTTCCTCCACCTCCTTGCCTCCCTCAAGCTCGATCTGGACGCCCTTATCAAGAGAGGCAACTGGTTTTTAAGATGAGGGGTCTTCCTCTTCTTTCACTAGCTGGATATCAAGGACCACCTTGAAAAGGTCCATTTGGCTGAAACCCCATTCAGGATAGAGGAAGGAAACCTACTTCTTCGCCCATTCAAAATAAGAGTAAGAGGTGTCCACTAGCTCATCCTTAAGCGTAGAAAACTCATCCCCATTTTCTTCTTTGAGCAAAAGGTGTCCCGACGAGGTTATTTTGGTTTTTGCTCTTAAGTGGCGAGATCCTGAGCCTTTGACTCCACCTCCTCAAGTTTTTCCGCCAAGACCTCATTCTCATTCTTTAACGTATCCACTATCTCTTGACCTTTGACAGGATTCCCTTGGGAGTCAGCAAGCTTCAATTTCAGCTCATTCACAATTGAGGCGTGGTTCTCTGGCTTAACACACTCTATCAATAAGACCCTCATCAAGTAGTTCTTCTTTAGGTCATACAACTTGTGAGACATATTATTACACATGGCCTTGTATTCGTCTAGGAAATCTTCATGGAAAGGAAGGCGAACGCCAATGTATTTTATGGTATCAAATGTGGGGTCATTCCATATAGAGGATTAATGAAATGGATCATTTCTTCTGGGCGGTGAATGCATGCCATCCCTATTGGCTTCAGGAATTAAGACCACATTATCCTTTGGAGCAAGGGGGAACCTACTTCCTACTTCTAGATTTTAGGGGCGCAAAGCTCAAAGGACGTGTCATCCTCAACTTGCCTATTAGTTCCTTTTATGATTAAGCGTCTAGGAAACTCTGAGGGTTATCTTTTCCTAGGCGTTTGGCCTTTCTCTTGGCCAAACGCTCATTCCTTTCGCCCAAAGGGATTTTTGACAGTTTATCTGAAAAAAAGAGGAAGGACAAATATAAGCAACATGACCAATAAAAATTCCAAAAATGGCCATTATGATATCAAGCTTACTTATATATTTATATATGTCCCTATCATACCCATGGTCTAAGATAATCTTGGTACAAAAACTCATGACCTCAAATTCATATAAAAGCTAAATTACCTCCATCTCATCAAGTGCAAGGCAGTTTAAGTCGTATCCAGTGATCACCATTGGATTGTCGGTCGAGGCTAGAGGAAAGTAAAGGGTGCCATCTGCCCCAGTAGTGACCATAGAGGTTCCATCTTTCCCTTTCACCCTCACGAACTTGTCTTTCCAATTTTTGTAATGATTAGAATATGGTTTGAATAATGATCTTTCAGGAAATATGCCTAAGGTCACCCATCCACGTCTAATTCTCGTCTTAGTGCCAAAAGAACAATCATATGGTATGATGGACCTTCAGTCGCTGACACATGATCCATGTTGAGAGATATGGGATGAGGCGATGTTAATCACCTTTAGAACCTCCACCTCAAACAAGGAAAAAAGAACTAGAACCCCTGGGTTGCAGACAACGGGGAGGTGAAGATAGAAATAGGGGCTGAGGAAATCATCTGAAGCTGCCATATTGGCTCTTTGTGTCATAGAGCTAGCCTCCAGGATGACTTCTTCCTCATTACATGAAGAGGAAATGTTGACATGTTATCGAAAATAGGCTATCCTTTCATCACTGATGTAATAGGTCTCAGCGTCTTTGCACTCAGGATCAGTGGCATCCATTCTGTTTTTTGTTTCCTGAGAAAACAAAAGGGGATCATCCCATTGACACCTGAAAGTCTCCCCCGAGCCGTGCTTGTGAAACTCGCCTCCGATACCCTTGAGAGACTAGCCCTGGGTAAATCTGAGGGAATCACCTTAGATATGCCTAAGGGACTCACCCTATGTACACCTAAGGGACTCGTCCAAATATGAAGGGCTAATTAGGCCAAATCACTTCGCCCTTTTCAAGCCCTCGTTCTTGAGAGACTGTGTATTGGTATATTTGTAAAAGGTCCACAATAAGCAGTGTAAGAAGTTCTCTAAGGAGAGGCGGCATATTATATCGCTACTGCCAGCTTCCTAGTCGCCCATTTCTTGGAACGAGTGCCCGCCATTTAGTTGTGGCGCCCATTTCTTATATCATTCGCCTTCTATGAAAACGTGGGGGGTGATGTGTCCCTATCCATAACGGTATGAGAGAGGAAGTCAAAAAGGGAGAATTGATTGTCCACATCCCACACATTTAAGAGTGAATTACTCTCTGAGACTAAGATTCATACCAAGGAATTCCTATAAATACCTCAACCCTTAGGTTGAATGGGGACATTCTATTTTCACTCATAAACACTAATATACATAACTTCTCACCCTACCTACATGAATTTGTTATAACACCACAACAATCCTAAAAACCTTTGGAGACCCTACAAAACACGAGATTGTCACGTATTGTAATTTTAACAAATATACTATCTAATTCAAATAATTAACTTTTGTTGTTAATTAGTCTTTAGCCGATGATAACCCATTTACAATAATAGAACATTATGAGAACAAAGGCAACTAGTAAATGCTAGTTCTAGATAGAAGGTTAGATTGTTTGGCCCAATCATGTTCAGGCATGGGACATACATACATGGATTTGATTTATCCGATAATAATTATAATGTTTCATTTCATTTCACTAATAAACAAATGAAGATCCCAGCCTGATAGGTGATGAGGGAGGGAGATTGATGATAACTACAAGGTCAAATATATTGTCACTATCATACCAATGACCTACATACAGAAATTATTAGCAAAATAATATTACTACAAGCAAACATTAATTAATTAAAAATACAAACAACCTATAAATTACCATATGTAAACAACATTTAATAATTGCCATGGTTCCATATGCATTTCTATCCTCTTTCTCTCTCTCTCTCTTTCTGTCCAAAATATTTGAAACAATCAACTATAGAATGAAAGTCAACGATGTTTTACCTATAAATAACCTCTGTTGAGTTTTCTAAGCTATGTGTGTTTGTATCAGAGAGCATATAGCATAAGGAAAATGAAGAGGAGTAGAGATACTGAGAAGAGATCAGAGATAAACTCTGCCATTGAAGAGCTTTCAGTTCTTGTTATAGTCAAACCTGGAGAAAACCATGAAGCACCAGCTGCACGCATCCCAACCAAGCCTTTCTTATCTCTATGTTACATGATTCTACAAGTTCTTGGTTATTTATTACTAACTTCTTCACCTTATTTTCAAACATGATAATAATGATGTTGAACCAAACAAATTATTGATTGTTTGTTTCTCTTGCAGATAAGGTAGGCCCGACAATGGTTGTTATTAGACAAGACATTGACCAGAATATTAAGGTAACCAAAACATGCTACTTTTTTCAGTTAGAATATAGTTAGTTTCACATTGAGTTCTGTGTCATTGCAGAGATTGGAAGCTATGTATGAATCAAACCCTTTAATCAATTCAAATTTGGTTGAGATATTGAAATCAGAAACTAGCAAAGGCATTGCAAAGAAGAGGATCAGTGGCAGTAAATCCTTTGTTTGGCTTACTAGGTGAAAACATTCATAAATTTTTCAAGAAAAATTTGATCGTATAATTTACATATGAAAAAGATTTTGTGTGAAATTTTAGCTTAAAGATTTTCCACTCTGCAGATCCTTGGATCTCACATCAGCATTGTTACAAGCATTACTAGTAAAAGATCCTAAAAAGAATATGGAACAAGCTGTTCAAGAGTCTTATGATGCAACTTTGAAACCATGGCATGGATGGATTTCATCTGCGGCTTTCAGAGTAATAATAACCATTTCTTCCGTTTCTTTGATTTCATTTTTCAATATTGAAATATTGAGGATAGCTCATAGTTCCTGATGAGGAACTGCAGTCGCAGACGTAGACATAGTTGGCCGAACTTTCTTAGTCATTGTTTGTGTTTTTTTGGTATCTTAACTCTTTTGAACCGCGGTTACTGTTCTAACATCAACTAACAGAATTAGTTTTTCAGGTTGCTATAAAGCTAGTACCTGACACTAAAACTTTCATGGATCTCATCGGTGAAAAAGACGAAGACTGTGACACCCTAATGGAGAAAATGCAGATTTTGGTTTCTTTGCTAGTGCCATTTCTGGAGGATATCCATTGTATTCTAGTAAGCTTGATCTCATTCTTTCTGGCATAAGTTATGCTCATTGGATTGAATTTCCTGTCATATAGTTACCAAATGAATATTTATTTTTGTTGCAGAAAGCGTATAAATTGGATAGGCTTAAATCAAACTGAAGTTTAGATAGAAAAGCTGATCTAGAACTTTTCTTAGTGTATAATGTATAGTTTGGTTTCATGTAAATTACTTGTACAGTAAAATTTTGTATCATGAAGCTTTCTAGTTACAAGTTTGCAGCACTGTAAGACTTTCAACATAGCCTAAAATCAAAATGAAAAAAAGTTGAAATAATGAATCAAGTCCATTCCCACAATGAGTTTTTCAAGTCATGTGAATTATTTGAAGGATCTTGAAGTGCAATCAATGCTGCAACTAAGCCAGCATTGCTTGCTATGGTTGGCTCTGTAAATCTTTGGTTGCTCCTTTGATCGATGAAGTTATCATTTGTGTCTGGTCCTCCCACCATGGCTCCCAGAAGAACTTGTGGATTCGGATTTTTAGAGTTTAGCCATGTCTTACCATCGTTGCAATTGTAGCGCCGTTTATCCCATGGGATCGACGCGCTTCTGTGATGAACCTGGACTGGAAACTTGTCACTATAGCCTACTAAATAACTCATTTTCATAGGATTTTGCCCTAAAATGTAGTTAACCTGAAACACAAGGAATCAAAATTTAATCTATTTCCAATTCATATGTGTTAGCATACAAAATGGTCAGAACTCAGAAGGCTAGGAATTTGCCTGAGAGCTAGCGAAATCACGAAGCGTCGCAACTGAGAATTCATCGGTTTCGCAGCTTGCACCGGATATTTTGAGATGATCAATGTAATCACTATACAATTTACTAAGAAAAGATGCTGTTGCAGCATATTGGAGTAATGGCCCATTATCAGGTTTTGGAAGTATCAATCCACCTACAATCATGTTTGACAAGAATCATATACTATTATATATCATAATGCATATTTCATTTTATCAAAGAATTATTTAACTAATTACCAGGTGTCCTGCTCATAAATTTTTTGAAAAGGTAAGAACACATGAGAGAGTGAGTCGAATTTGATGAAAATTTCAAAACATCTTCATATGGAAAGCCAGGATCGCGAAAATATCGAATACCAGCAAGCAAAACCTGCAAATATCACATTAAAAAACATGATACTACTAACTAACATCCTTTTTTTTCTCAAATTCGTCTCAAAATTCATCTCGGGTATCTGATTAAAGTTACCGCAACAGCATTGAGCTTGTTATTCCAATAAAACACCCCTTTGTCTAAATTTGTTTCATCACTTTTCGCTGATAAAAAAAACTCAGTTGCATTTGCAAGATAATCAGTGTTCTTAGTAGCAAGAAATAGCCAAGTAGCTCCCCAAGCCAACTCATCTTTGTAACTAGATGAATTATAGAGCATTCTTGCTTGTTTTCCACATGCATCAACATTGGTGTAGGTTCCTTGCTTTTTAGGATCTTCCTTTGTAACCACCTCATACACATTTTCTGCTGCTTGAACTAGTTTCCCCGAGTAATCTTTGTCGTCTTTGAATACCATCGATGCAGCAGATAATGCTGCCACAACTTCACCAGCTAAATCTGTAGCTGAGCCATCACAAACTGAAACTGGTCTACCGTAACTCATGTCTTCAGGCCTTTCCCAACAGTTTATATCATTTGGTTCACTATTAGTACTAATGGTACTTCCAACCTAATAAAATTGAAAACAAAAATAGCAACCATTAGTATATTTCAGTAGATAAACTCAAATAAACCGATATAAACAACTATTAGTATATGATTCCGAATAAAAAATAAACACGACGCAAAATTTATATCTTGCCTGAGAATAGAGTGTAAGGTTGGATGCAGTTGAAGTAATGAACACCTTAAGCAAATAGTCAGTACCCCATCTGATGATATCCCTAACATGATCAAGTTCATCAATATCAGCGAATTTCGTTTGATATTCCATTGCAGTCCAACTCAACAAGGTCATAGTATAAGCTGTGGTGAAAGTAAACTTAATATTGTTGCCAGAATCATAATATCCACCAATAAGATTAGTCTTTTCTGAATATCCATCTTGTAATCCTGAGTCTCCCCTATATTTCACTGAACTATTCCTTGGATAACTCCCAGCTGCAACATAATAAATATTAAAATTAAAATCACCAGACACATGCATCAGACACAGACACGAGACTGACACAATGTGTGCAAAACAAAGAAAAGCTATGAAGCACTAATGCATACACCGGAGACACGTTTAAAAAGAGAAGTAAGTAGTACATTTTTGGGCATCATAAAATGTTAGAGCTTGGTTTATAGCCAACTTGAGATTGATTGAAGAGTCTTGATGCTTATGCTTCTGAGGTAAAAAGTGCAACAGCAAAGCCAGTCCTATGATAGCAAAAAATATTGTTACTGTAACAGAAACAAAAAGATGGAAGTGTTTCTTATCAGTGATGACGAGATTGCAGTCAACTGATTTTGGATATTTGGAAGGGATGGAATCATAGGAAATGGATGATTTAGGAGTAAGTTTGAAATCAAGTGCTATGGAATTCCAGCGGCTTGATGAAGGGAGAAGACGACCAGCTTCTGAAACTGTGTGCATATATGTCACAGGATTCTTCTGTGATTCTGTTGGTGGTGGCATGATTGATGAAGACTTTTGTACTTTGAAATTGTTATAGTTATAATGTGTTACATTTGAATTGGGTTGATATTTCAATGCATGAGTTTGTCTTTTTTCTGCCGTATAAATTGTAGCTTTACATGGAATGTTTAAATGTAAGTCATACAAATAAAGACAGAGTTTAGTGCCAAAATCCATTGATGCTGCAAGGTGTCCGTCTAAAGATTCATTACTATTGTTGATGGTGTATATTAATTTTTTTTTTAAAAAGATAATAATAATTCATGATTAATGTTTTTAAATAAATAAATTAAAATTATTAAAAAATTTATTATGATGGCTGAGTATTAGAGTTTGGCCTATCACTACCCTACAAAACCGGTTGGTAAGGTGAGAGGTGTCACTCTATATAAACCATTTCAATGCTCTATCTTCAACCAATGTGAGACTTTAGGAGTTTCCTAATACTGAGAATATAAAAGGTGAAGTATAAATAAAAGAGAAGGAGAAAAGAAACAACAATAGAAAGTTAACTAATGTAATTTAAAGGATTAGACTACCAAGAATGTAAATTACGATGGAAAAAATTGACATAAAAAAAAAAGAAAAAAAAAGGAGATATATCGAGAGTGTAAAATTTTTTTACAAGGTCAACCATTGACGACCATACATTTCGCTAAGTCATACTGAAAATTTTAAACTAATTATATGATATGACAGAATGATATATTATTATTGGATGACAGTGTAAAACATTTTGACAGTGCATAACAATTAAACCCAAAAAATAAATAGTTATAATTTTTTTTCTTCGTCCTGTATCTTTTAGTTGGGGTTTATATTGGTCTTTTAACTTAAAAAATAATCATTTTGATCCTACCAACTGTTATGAGTTTGTCATTTTCATCAATTTTTCTAAAACGATGTTAAATATTTTAACATTTTGCCCTTGTCAGGAAACAGTAATACGTGGCATCTAGGTCGGATTATATGTTATAAACTACTATTCTTTATAAATTTAGGGTTCCATCTTCTTCTTCAATCTTGCTTTCTCTTTCATTGTTTCGTCTTGCATTCTCTTTCATTGCTAAAATTATGGCATCTTCATTATGAAAACAAAGAAGAAAAATGTGTTCTACAAATTCGTCTCCCTCTAATGAAGTGTCTGGTAATGGGGGACAACACTAACATTTATGAATCGGGGACTTACTCTTCTTCTTTGAAAAAACAATAGAGACCTAATTGTTTTCTTAATTGCTTTGAGTTATTCTACCCATTGTTTTCTTCTATGATGGGCAAGTATTCCCACAGGTCGAATGTCCAGTGAACGAGGGAGTTCACCGGAAATCCCCCTCTCTGCCTATTTAGGTTGCTTTTATCGCCAGAAGACATCATATTATTTTGAATGAAAAGGGAAATTCATATATAACAATTCCCCCATACGAAACCACTAATCTTCCTAGACCTAAATATATAAGTGACGTGTTGGAAGCTAGATAAGATAATTATACTAAATGAGCCTTTTGTCCAACTGATTTTCTTTCTGGTTTCGTAAGGCATCAAGAAAAAATGACGGTACATGGAAAAACACTCCAATGCCAAGTCATTAGTTTATTAAGATAAAAGGTTGAATGTTTTAGGGTTTTTATGAGTGTGTACATGATTTGACGCATGTCGTCCCTTTTTGTAGGAATTCCATTTGGGTCACTACCAACCCTCATTATGTAGTTTCCATCTAGACTGTTCACGTTGTCAGATGGCAAGATATGACTCGTTCTATGATCTAACGATCTAGCCTTTACTTTTATGTTGAGATCTAGTGTTATCTAGGACAGATTCATGCCTGTTTTTAAGTCCTAGAACTTTTTTCTTGATGACATACTTGTGATGTCCTTGCCATGACGTCATTTTTTCCCACCAATTTCTTTACCTTCTAAGTTTACACAATTTTTCTCTAATGGGATTAAGATTGTTCTACATTAACCATGACCTAGATCCAAGGATAAGTAGGCTAATGGGCTAATTTTACCTCTTCCTCAACCCAAATAGGAACAATGACGAAGATACCCTAATGAATCCTTTAGTTTTAACTAGAGCAAGATCTCTCAATATCTCATTGTTAATTTCACTTGAATCCACGACATCTAAAAAAACAAATAGTGAAATAACATGCTCACGTGGGAGGCCAAGTGTTTCCTTCTTCTTGCAAGAACGTTTAAACATGTTATCATTGGTATAAAATGATATGTTCCACTCTCTTTTTTATGCATGGTACTTGCAACTGTGTATATGAATCATGTGTAAGTTTGATTGTGTGTTTCCACGACCACCTCAATGGACTGTGTAATAATATCTTGAAACATAAATAATATTTACCTAATAAATAACCTCCAGCGCAACACTCCATGCATTCAAATCTTGTTATTAGCATAAGATTGTCATATATTAAACACAAAGTCGACTTCAATATCCTTATAACA